CCAACAATAAATCCAGTAAAATTGATGACGCTAACACGTCATTCCCTTCCTGTTTGCTTGGCCGGTGAGTATTTCCTGCTCCAGTTACAGTGCATCTGGAGAATATTCACGGGGTTTCACTTTCACATTTTGTCATGTTACAGCCTTACTCCAAAATGGGTTAAATTCATTTTCACCTCAAAATTCTACATACAGTACATAATGACAGTGTGAAAAGTTTGCATGAAATTCTTCCAAATTTATGAAAAGCAAAACCCCATAATTTAAGATGTATATGAGTATTCATAGCATTTGCTTTGACAGTCAAAATTGAGTTTCCGCTGATAATTTGTTTTCAAATTACCTGTGGTAAATTCAGTTGATTGGACATGATTTGGAAAGGCACACACCTGTCTATATAAGGTCCCATAGTTGGGAGTGCATACCAGAGCACAAACCAATCCATGCTTTGTCCTGTCTGTAGACAGGACTGGCACATGAGAAATCAACCTAAAAAAAATCTGAAAATCTCAAGGAAATTGGTATATGCCATAATAGGTATGTAGCCACTGTTAAAATATCATAAAATATAATGTAAGGAAAAAAAATTATTAAATAAAAGAATTTAAATAAGAAGACAGATCAATCTTGAATCTTCATGTAAATGTTAGCAACATAGACATGTCATGAGCCTGCAGAGCTCCCAGATCCATGGGGAGTGTTACATGTTAAGGACCCAGATAAAGAGTCTGATTTTTTTTTAAATTCTTAAACAGAGTGATTGTGTTGTTAAGCAAAAAGGAGTTGCTAAATGGGGCATGTTTATATAGCTGTTCATCCCAAATTTGAGTGATGGTGAAGGCTGTTGTGACTATATCATTAAATGGGCAACACTTCAACACTTCGTTCAGGAACACATGTATGCACTGAAATATTAAGTCCTAAATGTCATGTGACTGGTTGTTTTTCTTTTTCCTCAAGCGGACATACACTTTGACTGTAGAGGCCTGGGACTGGGACAACAACACACACAACAGTAAGTCAAAACTTCACATACATCCAATGCAGTTTCTATTGCAGTTTCTCAATAAGATTTGCTTATGACCAACACTAAAACATTCATCTGAGCTTGTCAGCCATGTCCACTCACTTATCTACATTTTTGGTTTAAAATGTGAAACGACCTCCATTCCTATGGCACAAATAGACACAAAAACCTTCTGTGAGATTTAATTTATAGAAACAGTTTCTAGAACCCAAACATTTTATTTAGTACGTCTTGATGCATTCTCAATCATCCAAGTGACTTCTTCAGTCTCAGCTGACTGACCTGCAGTCAGCTGAGACTGAAGAAGTCACTTGGATGAGTGACGAAACGTTTCTCCCACAAAACACTACATCTAGATGAACAGAATCAACTTTTGGAGATTTTATTTAGTAAGACACATGGACAAAAAGAAAGGATCACAATGTTGATATTTATCTTTATTTTTTAATAACCTACAGATTTGTTTGAGATGTTCTGCTGTGAGCTTCTGAGAAGTCATTTAAAAGCTTTGTCAAACAAAAAAGAAACACTAAAGAGGGTTTATTTACCTCTGTTATCGGTTAGCTGCTATTCTGGATCACGATCATGTGGAAGTAAGTGAGGAAAAATAAACACCAGATACAGAGCATTAGAACAAAGAAGAGATTTTAAGGCGATGACAAAGGGAATGTATTCATAGTTACATATTTGTGTTCGGCAGATGAAATTATGGCTGGCAGGGAGAACTTTGAAACGAATGTTTGACTTATCCTGGATGTGTCCATGGAACTTGCAACATGCCCTGGCAGTGCAACTGTGAGATGAACTGGACAGGTCTGTTTTGCGACAGAGGTATGACTAAAAATTTCTTACATTTTAATCACTTCTCTGCCAAAACAGTATGGTCCCTGCTTATTCAGTACTCGTAGTAAAATAACAATGAAAAATAACCAGTAAGTCAGTTGATATCCACTAAAACAAAATGGAATGACTTCAGTATCATCCAATTCTCCAGTTTAAATGTAGATATAAGCATGTCTTCAGAGGAGAAAAGGGTAGGATAACTCAGGGAATACTATTACAAAAGTACAAAAGAAAGTTACAAATAACAATTCAACACTGTGATTGGCAGGCATTGCATCCTTTTTAAAGAAAAAAAGATTTCTGTGGGTATATCATGCAATTTGACCAGATTAAAGACCCTTAGAGAAAAAGGTTCCAGTTCTCCAGTTCATGCAAATGCATAGAGGTGGCATGCTTTACATCACTCCATCCAAGGCTTTGCACTGCACTTGATAGTTTAAGGTTTGGATACAGCTGCTCGGACATTGAAACCCATTCCATGAAGCTCTCTACGTATTGTTTTTGAGCTAATTTGATGGTTACATGAAGTTTAAGGGGCTATAGCAATTGACTGCAGAAAGTTAATGACCTCTGTGCACTAAGCATCTGCTGAACCCACTCTGTGATTTTACATAGCCTACAATTTCACTGTTGAGTTGCTGTCATTTTCAGTTGCTTCCACTTTGTTATATTTAATCCCCTTTTGTATTTCCTATTCTGCCCTTCCATTCTTGTCTCTTTGTTATCTGATGTGTTTGTGTCAAGAGTTCAGTTTGACCCCCTTTGACAGATTTTGTTTACACAATAACAATCAGCTGTCTCGGGTCATTTAACATGGTTGCATTTCCTGAATCACGATCACGTCTACAAGGCTGACATCCAGTTATTTGAGCAGATCAGTTGCAGAACTATGTTACTGACACAAATGGGTGCCAATCCAGTCAGTGGGTTTCATTAAAGCTCTTTATTTTTGCTCAAAACATTGCATTTAGTATGGAATGGGGATTTTGTTTTCTCTCTCTGCAGCTCCATTTAAAGATGCTGATCAGCT